CTTGGCAAAATGTTGAGTCTGATGATCGTAAACCCTGGTGAGATCGAGAGTACCAGAAATTCTAGTACCCCAGTAGGATTGTCAGTAGGTACCATTACTTTGGAAAACAACTTAGCCTTGTCTATTTAGGTTAACGATGCACCTTATATAGCACATGTAATATAGCAATTCCATTCAAGGTTTACATCTACATGTGTATGTGCCCCAGAAATCACAAGAATGTTCACAGCAACATTTCCTTTTCTATTTCAAAGAAAGGTGTTTCCATATGGAGAAGGGAAAAACTGTGATATATTTATACAGTGAACTAATACTTAGCAGTGAAAATAAACAAAGTAGGGTACTTGCTCGGAGAAGGCAATGGCACCCCACTCCAGTACTCTTGCCTGGACAATCCCATGGACGGAGGAGCCTGGTAGGCTGCAGTCCATGGGGTTGCCAAGAGTCAGGCACAACTGAGCGACCTCACTTTCACTTTTCACTTTCATGCATTGGAGAAGGAAATGGCAACCCACTCCAGTGTTCTTGCCTAGAGAATCCCAGGGATGGGGGAGCCTGGTGGGCTGCCGTCTATGGGGTCACACAGAGTCGGATAAGACTGAAGCGACTTAGCAGCAGCAAGGTATTTGCTTCAAAATGATTATGCCCAAAAGCAATGAACATAGAAACGAAGGCGGCAGAAGAATACAGTTGAATTCCATTCATTCAAGATACGTACATTTAGGTATCTACACAAAGGTAAAATAAAAAACAGAAAGGTTATGATCAGCACAGCATTCAGGATGGTCTCCCACTATTAAATGGAGATGGGACAGGGTCAGGGAAAACCACATGGTGCCACACAGGAATGGCAGGAAGCTGCTGGCAGACACTACCAGGTTTGTGTATTTTCCTTTACTTGTCAGCGTGTATATATTACATACGTGTGTGTGTGGGCGCGCGTGCATGCTGATTCCACTGCAGGTATGAGAGAACTCAAAAAAGCAGAATGGCTGAAACATACAAAGAAAAAGATTATACACCACGTTTCAGACGAACCATCACCTAGAACCCTGAACTTACCTGTCTCTCGAATCACCACCGGCCATCCTTGCTGTGAATGCTTCTCTGTTTCTCTCCTCCTGGAGGCCTGAGACTATTGTCCTGCTCAGACAGTCCCCCTCAGGTTCTAGGGGTGCAACACACTGATTAACCAGATGACCAAACTAACCTGGCCTGCACCGCCAGAACACTAGCAAGTTTCAAAACCTGGGTTACAAGTAGGCGGGAATTTACTTGGCTTCCCTGGTTTCACAATTTAGCACATTTCTGGAAACTGACGGCCTGTTCTCTTTATCTCCTCCTTCGCCTCCCTCGTCTTGATGTCTAAGGTTAGAAACAGTTCAGTGATGCACTTAACTTCAGACGCTGCCTTCAGAAATGTCTTCTGCTTTCAGAGGTGGCTGCAGCAAATGGAGCCCTGCTATTACAGGTTGTTGCTACACTACTTTTTTTTTTTTTGCACAAAATTAGGGAAGTGATGGAGAAGGAATGGCAACCCACTCCAGTATTCTTGCCTGGAAAATCCCTGGACAGAGGAGCCTGGTGGGCTACAGCCCATGGGGTTGCAAGAGTCAGACATGACTTAGCAGCTAAACCAACCAACCAACCAACGGAAGAGAATCCACAGCCCAGCGCTTCAGTGTACTCAGGAAACCAGTGTATTTGAACCAAGGAAGGGGTGAGTGATTTAATGCCATTCTTGGTCCTGGTCACTGAGATGATTCTGCAGTCACCTCCAACACACACACACACGATTCTGCAGTCACCTCCAATACACACACACACACACATATGTAAGTGTCTCTCTGAGTGGTCAATGAGCCATATGCATTTTTACAACTAATCTACAGCTTTCAATATGGGTTGAGCAGCCCAATTAAATAGGAAGGTTCAAACAAACACAAAAGTAAAATTAGAAAAGGTATAAGACATGGTAGGGAATAAAAACTCCATTTTCAGACTGTGTGTTTTCTGGAATTTACTCCTCTTTAATGCTGAATATAAAATCTGAGATTTCACCAATGCCTTTAGAGACAAATGCATACAAATTGAAATCTAAAAACAATAATTTTGCAGATCAAAGTGGGTCTTGACACTTTAGAAAAGATATTAAATGAAAAGCATCTGTAGGAAAAGCAAAACCCTATATAGCAGAATCAAAACAAACAAAACAAAACAACAAGAGGCTTTGGTACCCTTTAACAACAGAGAACAAATAAGTTTAGTTCATTATTAAATTCATGTAATATAAAAACATCTACGTGGGAGTGTTGGATAAATCTATAAAACAGAAACAAATCTAAAATATATTAGAGCCTGAGAGAAAAAAAAAATCTTCCTTTTCTCCTCTTTGATTTTAATAGAACACCAGAATCTGGAAAAACAAGTACTTCCCCAAATAAATTTTCTTCTGGTCTGCATATACCAAGCAGGATGGCACTCTGTATTTTGTCTAATTTTAAAAAGGCATAATCTGATTTTTAGCAGCACATTTCCTTTGTTCCAACAAGCCTGCTATAGGAAAGAAAAATTCTGTCTTGAAATGCTCCTGATATAATATCTATGTCTATAATTCCCATCCACTTCTTTCCTAGGTGATTATACAGATCTAAAGGCAGCTAGTTAAAGAAGGGATGAAGAAAATCATTATGTGTTTGGAATTTAGCTGGTAAAACACCACAAGTAAGGGCATGATATTATCTGAACACAGTGTGGCTCAGGTAAGCCCAGATAGCAATACCATCTGGACTCCGCAGAGCCTGGATACCACGGGAAATACCACACAATGTGCTTCTAAGCTCACTCGTAACAAGCACAATACCAGCTCAAGCTGGTCTCTCCTATTTCTCTGCTGATCAAAAAAAAAAAAGTACAAGTGAGGGTAGATGGTGTGTAACTGTCGTAATAATTTAGCTCTCCTATTCATCTAGTCTGCTTAGGAGAATCTACTACAATCAGAGTAATTCAAAGGTTTTGAGACAAACAAGTCTGAGTAGCTTTCTTGGTCTGGCAAGTATTGTATTGATCCTATGACCCCAGAATTTAGCTCCCAAAGACTCACTCTTACCAAGTTGCTTCTTGGTACTCACTGGCAAGAGCAGACAAAATGTAAGTTAGATCACGGTAACATTAATGTTTTAAACTGCTGTATCTTAAAAAGAAATACTAAGTCTTATCAGACTTTAACACAATACCCAGTTCAAAAACAATTTCCTGGATAGTCCCTGGGATTTATCAAGTGGAATGTGACCTGGATTGTATTTAATGCCAACTAAGCAGTCATATTCATGATTTCACAGAAGCTTTCCTTGGAGAGAAAACTGTGGATTATGTGTCTGTTCCAGTCAAGTAGGAATCAGTGGAATGCTTTCCTTCTGGTTGTAGTCCTGGACTGCAAACCTCAGGCTGGGGATGTCAGCTTTAGCATTCAACAGGTTCTTAAGAAGAGTCCACTTTTAGCAAGTTGGAGGGAGAGAGAACACAGGTGATAGGAACGCAATTCTTTTGTTCTTTTCCTTTCTTACAAACCTCCTGCTCAGAATCTAAAGGGCAGGTCCAACATCAGGATGCTGAGAATAGCAGAATATCTTACACAGTCCTCTGAGAGCTTATCCTATGCAAGACTATTCCTGGGTTTGGCAACTAAAAACTCTTAAGAAGTGTGAGCAGGCACAAGGATGCAGTAAAAGGAGCCTCTGCCTTAATGAAGTAGACAGGTTCAGTATTTATCTGCATCCACTTCAAAGGAAGCAGAGACCACATGCTGTGTACTATCCAGAGTGAATCTCTGACAGCCTCTTTCTTGTACACACTCTGTTCTGAAAAATCACTGGTGCTCATACATGGAATAAGAACATGTACCTACGTTTCTCTGAAAACCTGGGACTGCGCACTGGTCAGAAATAGGAGTTGGCAGAGTGAGAGGACCAGTGAAAGTAACACAGGAAAAAAAAATTAAAATGTATAGCAATATTAGTTATTTTTTTAATATGCCTCATCAAGCGTTCCCAAAATACATCTAACCAAGATCTTCCTTTCTCAAAAAATATAATCCTTTCACAAAATATATAAGCAGCTACTAGTTAGGGGAGCTGCATTCAAAAATATATGTGCACTTATGCATACTAAGTTGCTAGAGCTGAAATGCTTTCAGATATGAGTCAGATAATGTCCCCTATAAATTTACTATCTAATTAGTGCACCTCTTGAAATATACGTTTTATGCAATCTTCTGCATTAAGTGAGACTTGCCCCTTGCAAGAGATAAAGAAGCATGTATTTTTCAAAATAGCAATTCTTTTCATCCCTATAACTCGGTTCTGATCATATACGGTAATCAACTACGATTTCTGGACACATCAGGAAGAGCTTGGAGGATTTATAGGGGTAAGAATTTCCATCACCAAAAGGAGGCTAAGAGCATCTAACTTTTTCTACAGTTATGACAAAGCACTGGAATATTTGTGATTCTGCAGCCAAGACCTCCAGCCCTTTGTCAACCAACATTGCTATTTTTCTTTCTGATCAAAATATTCTAAAAGCCTGGCATACTAATTTCAAGGATATCACCTAGGTAGTTAGAAGAGAAGCAGGTTTGAGCAATCCTGGCATCAACTACAAACCAGGGCAGACCCAGTATTTTCTCTCTGATGGTGCCAGCCGCTTATCACTCAGATTCAGGAAGCACACCTCGAACAGGTGACAGTTCCTCTGGGTAAACTGAGGCAACTGCAGGTAACTCTGAAAATAAGGAAAAAACCCACCACAGTCCTGATTTGGTTTAAAGCAATCATGCAATCCCATTAGACCCAAGTCTTCCCCAAACACCTTTTCCATGGCAAGCAAAGTTACTGATAACGCATGTGGCTTCTGTCACAGTGATGCATTAGGTAAGCAGGTGTGCGCCAAGTACCAGAGGGGACTCTGAAATGCATCTCCATCTCTTCCACTTGTCTTCGCTAAGGTTCTGCCTATTAATTTTAAAAAAAAAAAGAAAAGAAAAAAAGCTAGTTATTGCATTACATGGAAAAGAAAATTTACCCTGGCAAGTGATCTATATTATTTATTCATTTAATTTATTGACCACACCATGTGGCATGTGGGATCTGAGTTCCCCAACCAGGAGTTGAACACCCAGCCCCTGCACTCGGAGCATGGAGTCTTAACCACTGGACCCTGGCAGTGATATTTGAAGTGTCAAGGAACAGAGAGGCTGGGAATCACAATAAATCACCCTCATGTGATGGGTAAGAGCGAATCCTAGGTTTCAGGATCAGAGCCCAGATTTATGTCACATGCACCTGACCTGCCAAATAGAAAGGGGGAAAGGAAGCCACCTGTTTTCAACACTGATGAAACGCCTCTTGCACCTGGGTGAGTGGGGTGGGGGGCAGTTACCTCCTCACTCAGGGGCCCCGCAGAGGGTAACCCGAGGGGAATAGCACCACACCTATTGGTGAGCAGCTGATACCCTGGTCCCCCAAGAGCCACCATGACCCAACCGCTGGGTGGCTGACCCCCGGTGTGGGCAGGGGGTGGGAGCTCTAAGAGGAGCCTTGTGTTGGTTCAGTGCCCAGGGTTTACGTGGCTACATGTTTTCAGTATCAGCCCTGAATGGGGGAGATCCAAAAGCAGAAAGTTCTATTTCAGGCTCTGTTTTGAGTCTATTATGAGAATGAGGTTGATCATTTCCTTTGAAAATTATTCGTGAAAAGGTCTTTTCTCATAGGGAGGTACCAAAGTGAGCTCCAGACATCCATAGGAGGGTATGCCTCCGCTCCCCTACTCCCAACCAGGGTTTGGACAATTCGAGGAATAGAGAAATGTGGGAAATCAGTATTTTAAGTATCAGCAACTCACTTGAATTCTTTAAAAACGTACATGCAGCAGAGTGTAAGTAGATATAAGGATGTTTCTGGGCACTACTAAGAATGCAGAAAGTTAGAAGCAAACTTGGTGTTCAACGTATTCATTATTATGCAGGGCACATTGGCTCCGGATGTGTCTGTTCTGCACGGATGTTTTTTTCTTTAATGTAATTAAATTTTATTCTGAAGCATGACTATATATCATCCCATTATACACACACACACATATCATATGGGATGGTACAGGCCACCATTCTGTGACCTTCTACCGCCCTGTGTCCCGTCCACTCTGAACACGGGCCAGTGTCTACACCTGGGTGCTGAATGTTCTTTTCCTATTGAGCGTCTCTCCCCTCACTGTTCCACAGAGCAATCAGCTGCTAATGGAGTCTTTATGTCCCGCGGTGGGCCAGCTCACCCTGTCTTTCATGTGCTTGTGCTGCAGAGAGGATAGGGAAGAAGATAGGAAAGGAGGCTCCACCGTATAGTACATCACACCCATGAAGGCTCCATCTAGGCCTTAAGAGTGTAGACTGTGTAATGGATTACTACCAAGGTACAAAATAAATACGGATCCCCAGGTGGCTCAGTGGTAAACAGTCCGCCGGCCAGCACAGCACATGGGTTTGATCCTGGGTCAGGAAGATCCCCTGGAGGAGAAAATGGCAACCCACTCCAGTATTCTTGCCAGAAAAGTCCCAAGGACAGGAGCCTGGAGGGATCCCAAGGACTGGAGCTCCAGTCCCAGGCTCCAGTCCTTGGGATCGCAGAGAGGGGCATGACTGAGCACACATAAAATAAATAACTAGAAAGGGGGGAGATGCAGATTTGCTCTTAAAGATACTTGTACCTCTCTCCTACAAAACTGAAGTGTGAACTGCTATTAACGCTGAAGGCTTTGAGTGGTTCATGAGGGTAGCACGTACACTGCACCACAGCCTTCCGCCTGGGCTCCATGGGCTCCTGCTCACGTGTGATTCACTCAGAAGTCTGAAAATGGGGGTTGGAATGGGTGGGGATGCCCAGAGCCCTCACTGCTGATGGGATGGTCTCCTGAAATCAAGCAAACCTCAAGGGCATCAAAACCAACCTTGGGACTCCCCTAGTGGTCCAGTGGTTAAGACGCCAAGCTCCCAATGCAGGGGGGCACGGGTCTGATCCCTGGTGAGGAACAGAGATCCCACATGCTGAGCAGCCAAAAATAAATAAATGAACTCGATGCCTGTGGTGATAGTTACACAGCCCTGTAAATGTACCAAAAATCGCTGAATTGTAAAAACAAGTGAAATGTACGGTATGTAAATGATAAATCCATTAAAACATTTAAAACATAAGACCAACTTTAATCCCATGACCACAAGTTATGGGAGAAGGCGTATTTTACAGATCATAGGTTTCCTAAAAAATTTCTAAGAGAATATAAAGATTTTCAAAGAGTAAAAAAAGTCAGCCCACAGAATCTCAAAGGAATCTACATCTTCGGGGAAAATGAGAACAAAGATGGCAAGCACACAGTATTTTTCAAAGATGTTTGCACAGACACTGTCCACTGGATTTATGCACCCATTAGACTGCTCTCATCCCAGTTTTTTCCAGTTCTTTGAAGATAAATCTGGATTGTTTAATATCTTTGTATGAAACACGTTATAAAAATACTTTCATTTTCCCAAGTATTCCAGTGTTCCATCTTTATAAAAATAGTTTTAAGAGCCTTTAAATATTTCATGTGTGGGTTTTGCCTCTGTTTAAAACATGCGCACAGAAACCACCCACCACCATCTGTGGACTTACTGATGTATAACAAAGCACAATTTCACACTGGCGAGGAACTACAGGTGCTGCGGTGTAATTTATATTATTGATAGTCTCTGCCTTCCTCCCACAGGTGTTCCAGAAATGGTACAGATCCCGGGTGGCCTCAAAAGACCCATTACTTATAGACATCAAAGTTCCCAGTAATGCTGTTTCATTTCAACTCAGTGTTAAAAATAGAGGCTTTAGAATTCATTCTCAGTTTGAAATACAGTCAAAACCTCCATTGCCATGTACATAAAGACTGCAAGGAAATACATCAAAAATGTTTATGTGGTCTTCTCTGGTGACTTTTTATTTTCTACTTTATACATTTTGCATTTTCCCAATTTTTTAAAATGAGTCTAGGCTATTTTCATAATCAGAAAAAAAAAGTATTTTTGGAAGGGGAAATAACACTAAAAACATTACCTCATTTAACAAAGAAATGGTATTTTTTATTTTGAAAATGAATTTATGTGCTTTACAAAGTTACAATAATATATATCATCTATAGTTTGAAATGTTAGAAAAGCCTGAGGCTTTTACATTTTCTAAAAGACATTTGACACAATAAAGTGGCTTCAAAAAAACTTGAACTAGTTTAGGAATTACCCTTTTTTCAACGTTGACCATTTGTTATTGCAAATCATGTCCCTTCCAATGTAAATGACTTAAATAGAAGACCTGAAAAGCATGGCTTTGATTCTTTTTCAAAAAAGGTAAAGTAATGTGAGCTTGCACTTTAAAGTAAGAAGCACCTATGATTTTTTGCTACCTTAAGTTTTTCTTGGAAGAAAGAAGTCCAAATTATGATTAAATTGAATTTTAAATAAAGATAAATTCTAATATACAGCAACAGTTAAAAATGAGAAAGAAAGAAAGAAAAAAAAACCCCAAACTGGCATCTTTATGTGGCTTTACCCTGGGCAGTCCTAACTGTGCACCGAGAAAGCAAAAGCTGAAAATCTGGAGGACTAGCTGTACACTCCTTTCCCCTCAATCCCTAAGAACAACTCAAGAAAGACACATTTTAAAACAAGAGAAGATTAACCTACCTTTGACGCCAACTGTGATTTCAGGCCTAAGAATGAAAAGACTGTGTTGCTCTCCTTGGATTCAAAAAAACTGTCATAATCCTAGAAAAAGGAGGAGAAAATAAACAAAGCAAACAACCATATTTGTACTTGGTGCTTTTGACAAAGTCTTTATGTCAATAAAAAATGTACCGCTGTTCCATCCAGGCCAGGGAAAAGCTACATAAATCTACTGGATTTGCTCTGTTTGAGTCTCAACATATGAGCATCATGATGAAGGCAACACATTTTTAATCGAAAGCCTGTGACAGGAATTAAAATGTAAACCATCGACAACAGAAAGGAAGTCAGAACATGCTCACTCGCGTGTCAAACTAACATTTATTTGTGTGGAGTCACTCTGACCCAAGATTTTTACTTAAGCATTTCAATCCGGAAAGCAGCCTCCCAATTCCACTCTTGATATTTTCTTATCTGGGGCTTAAAAAAAAAAAAAAATCACTGCGTAAACAGAAAAGTTATAAAGGTTTCCATGTGTCAATGTGTGTGCTTCTATTCTGCTTTTGAAGTTTCTCCACATTCTTTGAGACTATGTCTTCAGAGAGAGGAAAAAAAAGATCAAGTAAAACCTCAAGGAGGAAATATTCTCTCTAACATTTATCTTTGCCTCAGACACAGAATCACTTTTCTCTTCCTACTTTCAAGAGAGAGGCCATCAAGGGGTTCTGGCCAAAGTTTTCATCACTTGTTTTCTTTTCCAAAGTCTGCCTGTATAATAAATACTACACAGTTGCTAAGCGGATGTGAAGGCGGGGGTCTTAAAATCTGACAGAAGTCCCTTGGGTCACTTTACGCAGAGAATAAACATTGCAAGCAGACAACGATCAGCATCAGTGGTAGGCATGTGCTCTGGGTTCACTGTCTTATCATCAGCACATCATTCAAAGGTGATTTCATAATTTTTAATGGGAGAGGTTTTTGCAAAATTATTTATTTGATTTTCGGTTGGGCTGGGTCTTCCCTGCTGCACACGGGCTTCTTTCTCTAGTAGCAGCGTGTGAGGGCTCCTCTTCGTCGCGGTGCACAGCTTTCTCATCGCAGCAGCTTCTCTCGTTGCAGAACACAGGCTCTAGGTTGCTTGGACTTCAGTAGCTGTGGCGCATGTGCTTAGCTGCTCCACCGCACGTGGCATCTTCCCGGAATGGAGGGGGAACTCGTCCTCCCCACCCCCACTGCATTCCGACCCCCCCAAACCACGCCCCACACTGGCGAGGATTCTTAACCACTGGACCACCAGGTAAGTCCAGCATATCATTTAATCCCCACCACCAGGTTAGAAACTGGCTCAGAGCAAAGAATTATGGTACCCAAGCTCGACAGCTGATGCGTAAGAGGACTGAGATTTGGGCCCAAGTTTCATTGCTGCAGAAATCAATGCTTTTTGTATTCTACGAGGCTTCTTGCCCAAGAGGAAACCAGGTAAGGGGCACCCTGTACATGAGTCACTGAGCCCTAATGAAGTCGCTGCTGAGCTGGGTCAATGGCATTACAAATACTTCTGAAACCTGTCTAGGAATTTAAATGAGAGTCGATGGCTCAGAGTAGAGATCTGCTTCTTGCAAAGCAGGCCTCGGTGGATGAAAAATCTTTTAAATGACTTGCCTTTGCATAGAGACTCTGTTGGCCAAGTGTTTTAGTAAGCTGCGTCTCGTCTGGCTTGAAGGCAGCTTGATTTTTTGTGCCCAGTCATCCCAGCCCCAGGGATGCGCGCACAGCTCCTTCTGTAGATTTTGGAGCAGTCACTCCTGCCGTCATCCGGATCAGCCCTGAGGCTAGTCACCCCCAAAGAGCGGCCTTCCCTGACCATGCCAAGAAGCAACACTTCTGAAGAGGGAGGCTCTTCAGCAAATACTTCCTTGGAAAATGGAGTTTTAAGCTGAAATTTATTAGAATGAATAGGACTAGATAAGTGAAGGGCTGGGATAGGAGCCTTTGGGACAGGAAATAACACCAGGCAAGAGCAAAGCTGGCAGATATGACCGGGATCAGCATGTGCCAGACTTTGGAAAGCAAGAGAAAGATTCTGAATTTTACCGTAAGTACAAAAGGAAATCATGTGCGGGTTCTGAGGAAGGGAGCAAGCAGAATGATCTATATAGTTTAAACTCCCTACAAACAAACCTTCAAGTTGTGAACTTTCAAAGATGTGAATGTATGCTTGCATGTCCAATCACGTAAGTTCACATGTCTGGTGTACACTGTCCTGAGTATGCATCCTCTACAACTGGCTGTGCTTTTGTGTATAGAGTACAGTAAGTACAGTATCTTTATTCCAAGCACAGGATGCTGGAAGCAAGCATAAAAGCAGCGGTACACAGCTGATTGTGTTAGCTGGGTACCAAGGCTAACTTTGTTGGATTCATGAACAAAATGGACTTAGGAACGTCCTCTCAGAACAAAACTTGTTCATATGCAGGGGACTTACTGCATTTCCTTTAAGAAAACCCCCGTGTCAAGCCTGTGGAGACTGGCTCAGAGGGAGGGAAGCAGGGGGAAGTGAGGCGCTCACTGTGGGGATTCAGGTAAGAGATGGAGGCAGTCTGAACCAGAACAATCGGAACAGGGATGGACAAAGTGGAAGGAGGAGAGACAGGGAGGAGGAATGGATTGTACTCAATTGGGGAACTGGCGTAGAGGTTTAGGGAGAATTATGAATTAAAGCAGCTCTCGTACAACTGATCAAACAAACAATATGGTTAAAAAATGGGCAGAAGACCTGAACAAACATTTTTCCACAGACATAACAGATGGCCAACAGACACCTGAAAAGGTGCTCAACACTGATCATCATCAGGGAAATGTGAATGAAAACTACATGAGATATCACTTCACACCCGTCAGAATGGCTATCATCAAAAAGACCACAAACAAAAAGCGTTGTCTAGGATGTGGAAAGAAGGGAACCCTCGAATACTGTTGTGGAGAATGTAAAATGGAGCAAGCACCATGGAAAAACAGTATGAAGATTCCTCAAAAAATTAAAAATACAACTACCATATGATCCAGCAATTCCACTCTCAGGTATATATTCGAAGAAGACAAAGACTTTAACTCAAAAAAGATTTATACATCTCCATGTCCACTGCAGCACTATTTACAATAGTCAAGATTTGACAGCAACTTAAGTGGCCATCAACAGATGAATGAATAAAGAAGATGTGGTACATATATACAATGGAATAGCACTTAGTCATAAAAAAGGAAGAAATTTTCTTCATTGGACTTGGAGGGTATTATGTCTAGTGAAATAAGACAGAGCAAGACAAATACTGTTTGATATCACTTACATGTGGAATCTGAAAAATAAAACAGACTGCGAAGTGTGAAAGTCACTCAATCATATTCACCTCTCTGTGACCCCATGCACTCTAGCCCACCAGGCTCCTCTGTTCATGGAATTCTCCAGGAAAGAATACTGGAGTGAGTTGCCATTCCCTTCTCTAGGGGGTCTTCTTGACCCAGGGATTGAACCTAGGTCTCCTGCACTGCAGGAAGATTCTTAACTGTCTGAGCCACCAGAAGCCCCAAACAGACTAGTGATTTTAACAAAAAAGAAAGACTCACAGATACAGAGACAAAGACCAGTGGGAGAGAAAGCAGAGACAAGATATGGGTAGGGGATAGAGGGGTACAAAATACTATGTATGAAATAAATGAGCTGTAAGGATATATAGTATACCACAGGAAATACAGCCAATATTTTATAATAACTGTAAATGAAGTACAGACATTACTTTGCCAACAAAGGTCCATCTAGTCAAGGCCATGGTTTTTCCAGTAGTCATGTATGGATGTGAGAGTTGGACTACAAAGAAAGCTGAGCACCAAAGAATTGATGTTTTTGAACTGTGGTGTTGGAGAAGACTCTTGAGAGTCCCTTGGAATGCAAGGAGATCCAACCAGCCCATCCTAAAGGAAATCAGTCCTGAATGTTCATTGGCAAGGACTGATCTTGAAGCTGAAACTGCAATACTTTGGCCACCTGATGCAAAGAGCCGACTCATTTGAAAAGACCCTGATGCTGGGAAAGATTGAGGGCTGGAGGAGAAGGGGACGACAGAGGATGAGATGGTTGGATGGCATCACCGACTCAATGGACATGACTTTGGGTAATCTCCAGGAGTTGGTGATAGACAGGGAGGCCTAGCGTGCTACAGTCCATGGGGTCATGAAGAGTCGGATACGACTAAGCGACTGAATTGACTGAACTGATAAATGGAGTACAACCTTTAAAAATTGTGAATCACTGTTGTATGCCTGAAACATACAATATTGTAAAAACCATACCTCAATAAAAAACAATTTTTTGAAAAAAAAAAAAAAAAGAGGTCTGACCTTTGTGACTTAAGGGGAAAGACCAGGGGAAAAAAAGCAGGTTTGAGGATAAGGTTGAAGTTGACTTTCAAAATGTTAAATTTGAGAAACTGTATGAGACACTGAGTGAATATCTCAATGGAGCACTGGAAAGTTTGAAAGGACTCTAGGTATTACAGATCTCATAAAATTTTTTTTCATGGAAAACTTTTAATAAAAATTATATCTCAATTTGATGTGGAATTTAGGCAAAATTCCATGAACTGAAAATGTTGTTACTGATATTCTTTGTAACAAAGCAGGTCTAAATAGTTGAATAGCATTTCATTGGCCCTGGTTCAGGAAATAATCCTGTTTGACACATACTTTCTCTACCTGATCATCTGTTGCTCATATTCATTGTGGTAACAGGAGGACGAGTGCTAAACTACATCCAGCTTGTCTCATCCTTTTAAATATCTACCATGTGAAAATTGGTTGATTTGTTTCTCTCCACACCATATTCTGCCACTACTTGATCTAAATTCTTTTCCTTATGGAATCTCACTCAAAGCCATGGTTCTAATTAAATTCAGATCCCTCGCTCTGATTCTCCTATCAACTCTGATTCCAAGTAAGCAACTGTTCACAGACTTGTTAAAAAATATTTTTTAATTTAAAAATTATTTATTATAAATAATTTACTTTATAAAATAAATTTAGGTATTTATTTTTAATAAATAAGTAAT